CCTTGACCAAACATGTTGCAAGACATGATTCATCCACCAGAGCAACAGCTTCCCATTGTAATTCTCTCATCTCATCTCTCCTCTTTGAATTTAATTTTCTTGAATATATTGATAATTCACCATTTTCGTTTCTCTTTTGTTTCATGCGTTCATATGTATACAAAAAATGATAACAAAGATTCTTTTCGTTGATGGCTAGGTTTTCAGTCTTACTATTACAAGGTTTACGTGAGTTTCTGTCTAATACTTTCGTGATATATAATTTCACAAATTTATATGATATATATATATATATCTGTGTTCCTTTCATATCATTTTAAGTTCAATCATTTCATGCCTTACTTTATTTCCTTTTTCAGTTTCCGTTGGTTCTTATTTCATGTGAAATATTACACGTTTATCTTTGACCAAAATAATGCCACTGCGTTAGTTTTAGGCTTCCCTTCATTTCAGCCATTACCCTTTTTAAACAAATTTGAACCAATAATATTATTATTTTTTTTTTTTTGAAAATGACATTAAATTTCAGGCTAAACTACACGTTTAGTACCTCAATTATAACTTTTGTTCCGTTTTGGTCACCCAACTATTATTTTCTTTTCAAAATCATACTTAATGCTATGTTTTAGTTTTTTTTTGTCATCCATCGTTAAAAAAACAGCAGAACAACTGACTTAACATTTTTTAAATTCTTTTACTGATGACGTGACATTGCCTTATGATGACACATCAATATCACCGCTAATTTTTTAACTGCAGGTGATCAAAATATAATGATATGCATAATTTTGAAACAAAAAACAATTGAGAGATAAAAAATGAAAAACTATAATTAGGATAATAAACGTGTAATTTACCCTAAAATTTAAAATTCTTTTTTATAACCATGAACTTTGAACGAATTATATTAAATTTTCCACAACATTTTTTTCTAGATGATATGCATATATGTTAACTTTTGAACATATATATAAGAAGAAGACATTCCCAATTTAAAAAATGTCTCTTTCTTGAGGGTAGCATCATCTTCCTAATCTAATCATGATATTTTCCTCCCCTCCATTTTTGTTCCAACTTTTCTTTTTGATCACTATGGAATCAGTAACTTTCCATGCTTGTTGTTTAAGCTTTTGTAATTGTGATTCTTTCTCTCCTTTTTCTCCTATTAGATTGGGTGAAAGACCCTAAAGACAACATTTCACATGGAAAACATAAATAGGGTATTGGAATTTATATTTTTCTTTTCTTAAATTCCAGTTGTTTGTTTGAATTTGGATTTTTCTTTATTTTCTATAATCTAAATAAATATAATGTAGCATTAACTTCTGGATTCTTTTGGAAAACAAAGGGGATGCTTTGAGTTCATATACAGGTCACATGGAGCAGAAATCCTTTTCTTTGTATGAAATTATATCTCTATCAGATTTTCTTCCTTCATTGCTATTCGAATTTGGTACAGGTTCCAGGTTTTTTATATATATATATTGAGATTATATCTTAATATTCATGTCAAAAATATATCAGATTCGGATATCCATACATTAGAATACATTGTTAGATATCTATATGATCATAATTCTATAAAATTGATATCTTCCATGCATGCATGGTTTTTTCTTTTGTCTGATTTCATTGATCTGAACATGTATTTTTAATTATATTTTCAGGAGGATATACCAAGCCCGATCAGTGGTCCAAATTTTTATTTGTCAGATAATGATCTTTTTTCGGACGCCCTGCAGAACTCTGAGGTCACTGATGAAAACTCTTCCTACGGAAACAATCTCAACATACCACCAGACATTGAACAACTCAACGGCCACAACAACAGGGATACGAATTCCGCCGCCGCTGTCACCGCCACCAACGCCGCCACAAGCTCCACTGTAGCCGCCACCGCCAACAACAACAATCTGTCCATAATCTTTGATTCACCGGATGACATTTCAGCTTCCATAGACTTCTCTGAAACCCCATCTTTCACAGTCCCACAATTTCTAACACAACAAAACCAATTCGACCTTTCCTTGGTGCAATCTCAAATCCAATTACCCGATGTCTCAGCCGAGGGGCTGTCGCAGTATGCCACCGCCGACACGGTCGGACCGCTTTTAGGGCCACCATTGTCGTCTGTTTTCGACGAAGATTGCTTGTCCTCGGTGCCTTCTTATGTACCTTTAAACCCTTCGTCTCCTTCTTGCTCTTTCTTTGGCCCTCCAATGTCCACTTTCATGCCTGCTGGTAGTTCTGGGATTTTTACCGACAGAATTCTTTTGAACTCTGAACTTCAACCACAAGACTTGGAATTCCAGGGTGATGATGCTGGAATCTTTTGCCATGATTCTGTCCAACGAGTTTTCAAACCTGGAGACTTACAGGTACTTGTTTAATCTTCATCATTCAATGAAGAAACCGTCACTTTATAAATTTGTAATCGTTTTTTTATTGTTTCGAAAAGGGTCTGAGCAGTGAGAATCAACAACTGGTTGGAGTAGCAACAACTAGCTCTACTCCTTTAGCTTCAGAGAATTCGATTTTGGAAGATTCATGTTTCAACAAGGTTGGGAAACTTTCTGTGGAACAAAGGAAGGAGAAGATTCATAGGTACATGAAGAAAAGGAATGAGAGGAACTTCAGCAAGAAAATCAAGGTCCCTATACTTAATCCCTCTCATATATATTTTGATTCTTTTAAGAATTGAAGTAGTGATGCTTGTAAATCAATACGCAGTATGCATGCCGCAAGACATTAGCCGATGGCAGGCCCCGAGTAAGAGGAAGGTTTGCCAAAAATGATGAATTTGGAGACACCAATAGGCAAGCTTGCAGCAATCATGATGAAGAATATGATGATGAAGTAAGGGTCTTCTTTCTTCTTCTTTCTTTTCTTCATAAAATTCCCATTTTCATTGATGATACTTGTTGCTAGAAACAAGTTTATTGCGTCGGCGGTTGTCAATTCATCATTTTTGTTTAAGCGAAGAACTGTGACCGGTGCAAGGACAACCGTTAGCTGTAAGAATAAAAGAAAGAAAAAATATAACATAGGAGAGAATAATTCAGACACAAAAAAAACTTCTTTCTCAATCTTTCCTTGAGATATAAATACCGCAATTATAAGATGATTGATATAAATCTCGAGTCATTATGAAGACTTTTATTAACGGAAATTTAATAGATTCTTAAAAATATTTGTGAAGGTACAACACTAAGTATTGAGTATAATATTTTGGTTTGATTTTTAAGCAGGTTGTTGTGAAAGAAGAGGAAGACATGGTTGATTCACCTGATATTTTTGCACACATTAGTGGCGTCAACTCTTTCAAATGCAACTACCCAATCCAATCCTGGATTTAAATAGTTCTAAATCCACTACAATTTTGCAGGGACCCCTGTTTCAAACTGGGTTTTCTCCAAGTTTGATCTTTAAAAAAATAAAAAATAAAAAGAGGGGAAAATAATAAGGTCCTACTTCATACAAAATAAGTCAGGATTACTAATAGATGGTAAATAAAACTGTAATTATTGTAGATATATGTATGTATATGGTAATTCCACTTGTATCAAGTTCAATTGTATGTGATCAGCACATTATTACAATGATATTATGGCATTACTTAATTGCCGCTTTCACTTGTTGAAGGAATTGAATTTGATGGTAGTTTGTGAGTGTAAACAAATAGTTTTGTTTGCTTGAATGGCTTGACTCGCCTCTAGTATAAATTTATATATTGAAATAGAAGTTAAATGTACACAAATTGTCCTTAAATTATACCATTTTTCTCGCACATGTTTAAGGGCTCTTCTAGGAGTGAGAAAGACAGTAAAGTAAAAATCAATCTGAAGTCTGAACCATAATGTTTAGACTAATATAATCCAAGGTAATGAGAACCAAGATTCCTTCAATGTCTCCTTTTCCATCTCTCTCATCCACATGTCTTTGGGAATAAAATCCACAAAAAGACCAACAAAAAAGCTTAAAATAAATACAAATTAAAACAAGAAAATCCATCCGCAGGCGTTTGCCTTTTCTTTTTTGCCATAGTGGATTCTATGCTGCGTTCCAGCTCACTTCTTTTACTTTTGTGTATTTTTTAATGGTTTCTATAAAAAGATTTCCTGTCCTCTGTAGTATATTTCATTTGCCCTGTGAAATAAATGCAAATACACAAATGGTCTCTATTATAATGTATTATTTTAATAGTTTTATTATTAAAAATTATAAATAGATTTTTATTATAAAATTTTGTTTTACTTATTATTAAAAGTTATAAAATAAACATCTGATTATTTATAGGTTATAAACTTATTTTTTCTATTAAAAACTTAACAGTCATCTAAATTAGATGCATGATTTATCTTAACTATTTTTTACTCGAGGCAAAATTAAAAATTAGACTCCTAATTCATTTTTTTAAGAAATATGTACTACAAAAAAAATTTTTTGGATAAGTGAAGTTTATTCATCCAAAGAAAGCAGCACAGCTGCTACAAGAAACATTATATTAGCCCCCAATTTTGGCACATACGCCTATTTACATCATCGACTCGATTAATGTAACCCCCATACAATTTAATACGAACCACCTCTCTAATACTATTTCAATAGAATCAGCTGAACGAAACACTCCTCTAAAACTCCTGTGATTTCGTTCCTCCCAAATAGAGTAAACAAACCCGGTCCAAGCAAGCTTGAGTATATGAACTAAGAGGGATTTTCCCTTAAAGTGTATAATCATCCAACGAATCTCATCATCCCAGCACCTGATGCTTCAATTCACAATCAAGCAAAACAACACACCATATCTCAGACGCAAAGGGGCATTCAAGGAATAGATGGTTGCGAGATTTTTGACCTACCCCATACAACACACATAAACTGTTGTTAACCACAATTCCAAACCTGCCTAATCTGTCCTTAGTAGGAAGCTTATCGAGCAGAACCATCCAAGCCATAAGAGAAAACTTGGGGATATGAGCAGGAAACCAGATGAGTCTATGTCATGCAACCTTGTCACTTCTTTCGCGGACACTATCCCATATCCACCTGTCATTGACCTGAGATAAGCTAGCCAAAGGCCTAAATAAACGCCCAGCCTCCTCCCTCAGCTTAATCAACTTGCTGAGAATCCAGCTGAAATGAGGTTTACTAACCACAGACCAATAATCAACATACTTAAAACAGTAGCTCTTAATCCACACAATCCACAGTGACCCTTCCCCCGCAAGGATACACTTAATAAGCATTAGACAACATGCTTTACTCCAGTCAACAAGCTTCCTTAAGCCCAATCCTCCCTCAGATTTAGGTGAGCACACCTGGTTCCAGCTCACTCTAGCACCACTAGTAGAGGTGTCGCTGCCTCTCTAAAAGAACTTCATACAAAGCTTCTCAATATCCCTAATGACACCCTTAGGCAGTATTAATTGTCTACTCTAATAACCAAACAAGTTGAACAAGACAGATTTTACAAACTGAAGTCTACCCCCATAACTGAGTTTTCTGCTGGACCACTTATCAATTTTGTCCTTAATTTTCACCAGCAATGCCGAGCAGTCCTTGCTAGTGAGCTTACGTGTGACCAAGGGCACCCCAAGATATCTAACAGGAAGCTGACCAATCCTAAAACCAGTGGCTCTATGAATCAGCTCAAATTTATCTTCTGATATCCCACAAGTAAATAATTCAGTCTTTGTAGCATTCAATCTAAGGCCAGAAATCTCATAGAACTTGTCCAAGAAACTAACCACCCCCACCACAGAATCCAGTGATCCATGATAGAACAAAAGGAGGTCATCAGCAAAACAGAGGTGAGTGAGGGGAATTTTTTTGCATTTTGGGTGGAATCTAAACACATTAATCCTGGAAGCAACATCTAGCAGTGAGGAAAGTACATTCATCACAATCACAAAATGATAAGGGGAAAGGGGATCGCCCTGTCTAACCCCCTAGCCCCTTTAAAATACCCCACCAAACTACCATTCAAAGAAATAGAGAATCTGGGGGTAGTAATACAAGCTTTTATTCAACCACAAAACACCTCAGGCAGCCCCGAAACTTCAAGAACATTCATCAAGAAGTCCCAACAGATTGAATCAAAAGCCTTCTGCAAGTCAATCTTAATTGTGCATCTAGGAGAAATGTTCTTCCTAGAATATCCCCTAACTACTTCCTAGAATATCCCCTAACTACTTCCTGAGCCAATAAGGTATTGTCAACAATATTCCCACCCTTAACAAATGTTGATTGATTAGGGGAAATCATACCAGGAAATAACAAAGCTAATCTAGTGACCAGGATCCTAGTGATTGTCTTATAAATCACAGAACAACAAGAAATGGGACTAAATTCCTTGTCCATACATGCATTAGGGGATTTAGGCACTAAGACAATGGATGTGGCATTAAAAGCAGGTAAAAGAGAGGAAGATTGGAAGAAGTACCTTACAGCCCCAATAAAATCATTGCCAACTATATCCCAAGTGACCTTGAAGAACCATGAGGTATAACCATCAGGCCCAGGGCTCTTATTTTCCCCCTTCCTGAATAGTGCATCTTTGATTTCAGCATCAGTAATCACTCCACCTAGGATATCCTCAGCCCCAACAGGTAAAGAGTAATTTAGAACAAACTTTAACCAGTCAGGAGGACAACTCTTCACTATGGGATCAGCAGTACCTATAAGGCTTTTGAAAAAATTGTCCAACTCAGCTGCCATATCCTCAAAAGTTTCATGATATCCTAAAAAATATGTACTACAAAATTTTTATTAGAATTTATTTTATTAAATTAAACAAATAGTAATTTATTATATTATCAAAAATGTTTAAAAATGTATTTAAATATACAAATACTTGTAAACAAAACATTGTTTTCGAGTATTTTTTTGATGGTAAATCATTGATTATAGCATCAACATCAATACTTTCAACATATTTTTCTCAATACACAACATAACATTTGAAAATAAAAAAAACGATCTTATTTAGAATTTAGAAATATATAAAAAGCAAAAGAAATAATTTGAAAAATATGATCTTACCTAGAATTTTAAGAACAATCTTTAATATGATTCAAGCACCATAATCGATGATAAAAAATTATAACTTTTTGTTTGTGAGAAATTAAAAAGTGAGTGTAATAATTTTCAGATGAATCGTGAAACATAGAAGAGAAAAAAAGGAGATTAATTATATTTAAATTTTTTCTCCCATTGAGTTTTGAAGAGAAGTAATACTGTTAATAAAACTTTTCATTGATATGAAAAATCGGAAAAATGATTTAGTGTATTGATAGTGAGAATTTAGAAAGAACAAAATTAAAGAAATTCATTGGTTTTTTTATTTTAAGAAATAAAAATTGAATCAGAGTTATAAAAGAAGTATAAGTTTATTATTGTTAACATAAAAATTTAATAATGACAATAATATCTTATTAAATTTATGGGCCCATTATTTTATTATATAATTTTTATTAAAGTTTATTATAATATATATACATAATTTTTTAATTTATAAGTCCTGAGCAGACGTCCCTCTTGCCTTGGTCCAGGGCAGGCCCTGGTTGAATGTTAATCTGTTAAATGAATTATAATAAAATTTGATCTCAAAATCGTTTGAGCTATATTTTGTGGGTCGACTTTTTGTTTATATTATATCATTCAGCCAATGCTTAAATGCAACATCGATATCAGTAGATATTATTAAAATATAATTTTATCATATCTAGATTAATAAGTTAACATCTAATTTAGACGTCGATCGTTTTTAACGAAAAATAATAATTTTAGAATATATTAATAGTAAAAAGGTCATTTCACAATTTTTAATAAAAAAATTTAACAAAATAACTTCTTATAATCTAGATATTATTATATAATTTTAAAAAATTAATGATTTGATAAAATAATATCATATAATGTACCATTTATGTACTTTACCAGTGAAATAATTGATTAAAAATATGTGGGTGGCTCTTCAAAGTTGAAAGGAGAAACCATGGAATCCAAATTCCTCGACTTTTGCTACAGTTTTGGCCTTTGGGGTGCTTAGGAAAAAAATGTGCTTGGGATTCTAGAATGGTTTGCTTCTTTCCTTCTTTCTTTTTTCTCTCTTTCCCACCAGCACCAGCACCAGCACCAGCACTATTTTTTAGTTTATTCACAAAAAGCTGCTGCTTCTGTTTTTCTTTTTTGCTTGTCTATTGAATTGGATTGGGGTGCTTCATTTGTATCTTGGATCCATTTCTATGCGGTAAGACGAAAAAAAAAAGAGAGAGCTTTTCTTCTTACTTATTCCCTTCAGAAAAGTTTGCAACTTTCTTCTGCATTTTATTTCTGGTTTTTTGTGCTTTATATATTTATTCTTCTCTGATATAAATAATAGCAAGTAGTTCCCATTTTCGCTCTTATAGAGTTTTATATCTGAGTTGCTTGCATTGGTGGAAGCTGATTTATTGTCATAGAGTTCCATGTTTGACAGTGTTCAACAACTCCATGTCAGTGTTCTTTACCATGTTAGTTTCTGAATATTTTTTTTGGGATTTTTTCTGATATATTTATGCTTCTTTATTCCATCTTTTCCCTGCTTTATAATGCTGTTGTAATCAAGCTTTTAAAGTTAACTGTCATAATTGTGATTCAAAAAAGGGGAAAAAGTTTATGCCATGATTTGGATTGCTAACCACTAATTTACAGTTTATATCTCATTTAGATTCCTTGAGAATAAATGAAGAAAAAAGACAACGCAAAGTGGAAGGATATTTGTTCTCGTCTTTCTAGTTCATAACTCGGCATAGTTAGATTACATATATGAAAAATTAAAGATTCATCGTTACTTGATTAAGTTATTCGATTTTGACACATTCTGTTTTATTTCTCATTGCTGAAAATGCAGTCTCCGTTGTCATTTGTCTTATACGTTATTGTTTCTAGTTGAGGTAACAGAACGGTGGCTAACGGGTGATTGCGTTCTTTCTGTTTGTTGATGTAATTCATCTTCTGTTCAGATTTCTAATGAAGTACAGATGGGGCAGTTTGGAGGATTATCGACCGTTTTGAGACCGAAAATGGTGACGAGGTGTGTCTGTTATTGATGCGTTATACTTGATTCGATGCATCCAATGGACAACACATTAGTTAGTGATCTGAAAGATGACAGGGGAAACGGAGATTCATTGCGCATTTTGGAGGACAAGAAGGATACATCAGTAGACTATGGAATGAATTGTTCTGGACTAAAACCAAAAAGGTTGGCTAGTCTGGTGAACCCACAGCATGCTCTGATATTAAATGTTGGAAGAATACAGGCAGGGAAAAGTCTTATAAATGGTTCATTGATTTGGGCTATTTTTGGCAGAGGGAATACGATTCCAAGGCATGTGGTCACTCTACATGAGAAATATCTTCGTTGTTGCCTGGAGTTGATTCATATCAATGCAGCAAAAGTTGCTCAATGCAGTATCTCTGTGAACTTCAGCTCTGTAGACATTGGCATTGTATCTGATGGACTGAATTCAGCTAAAATTGGGGCTGAAAGTACGTGTGATTTCGGCAGCTTTGGTTTTGAATGTCTACCGGATATTGGGACTGGTAGTTTAGTCACTGGTTCTGCAGAACTGTGGATAGTAGGTTCGATAATGGGCTGCAGGAGCATGAAAAATATATTGGGAAGTCCATTGTTTCAGAAGTTGGGTGCATTCCATGTCAATCCAAGTTTGAATGATGCTAAAGGACTAATAAGTTATGACTTAATGAGCTCTCCGGGTGATTTCAGTAATAAAACCTTGTACGACCTACGAAGTGAGACGCCAATATCGGATAATCATAAGTATGGATCTGAGACTGTTTGTAAAAGGCTTGTTTCCATGTCAAGTACAGACTCAACATGCTCGGATCAGTCGTTTTCTTCTCCTTGTACAACAATTTCTGAGGGAGTGCTTCAATGCATGTGGAATGGTGGGACTCCATACTTTGTTTTCTCCCTAGATAACCAGAGGGAGGTGTATTTAGCCAATTTGTCAAAACAAGGAGCTGCTCGAAATAAGGGTTTGGACAATGTGTACTTGTTCCATTCGAGCAAGAGTAGCCATAAGGAACATCGGATTAGTGATAACGAATCAAACCTTGTTGGTAAGATGACGATGTCTACTTCTTTCTCAATCTGTTCCCAAGATTCTAAAATCATGGAGACAGAGTTTGTTTTGTTCAGTGGCATGCAAACATCAAGGGATAATCACTGGACAAATAAGGGTCTATCGAAAAAGGTAGTGGAAGCATTCAAGGGTAGTCATTCATTGAAGCAAATAACGGTGTCAAGATTTCATCGATCGAGTTCCATGATGGAAGATTCTTCTTTGGGTCCTTGCAGAGATGCAGTTGGCAAATCGGATGCTATAGACCAGACAAAACTTTTCAATGAGCAACTTCCAACAAATCTTGAGCTGACAGCCGTTGTTGTGAGGGATCATTTACCTGAGGATTCTCAGGCGGAAGCAGGAGGTTGGGGCCTAAAGTTTCTCAGGAAACCGGTGGATATGCCCAACACCAAAAGTTCGGAAACCCTGGCTCGTTCAGTTTTTTCTTGTAGTACCAGTGATTGCTCAAGAAGTATGAATGTTCTAATTCCAGCAGGTATTCATGGTGGTCCAAGAACCAGAAATGGTGGCCCCTCTAGTCTTATTGAAGATGGAGATATGGTGGACATTGTGACTGTGGTGGCTGGGACTTAGGGTGTCCGCTGACCGTACTCGAATCCAGGTCAAGTAAAGGCGGTTCACCTCCAACAGATATGCCCAACACTTGCAAGTTATTCGATTTTTCCATTCAGGTATCTCATTCTCACCTTCAATGTTTACCTAACTTATCCTCCATAGCATTTTCATGGTTAACAGACCTTTAACTTAACAACCTGAATCACAATACAGGGTCCCGAACATGGTTCTCCTACCTTGACGATATCGAAAGTTCACGACAGCCTGTATTTCATTCATTTTCAATCAACGCTCTCAGCTCTGCAGTCCTTCTCGGTTGCAGTGGCCTACATTCATACTCAGAGACCCACTCTTCGACCCAAAAGTGTACAGCAGCGTGTACGTTAAACTTTAGGTGTTATACATGAATTGGATAGATTATTTTTCTGCAGTCCTGCCTTCTAAAACAAGCAACAGAGTTGTTAGCTCGCCGTTTTTATGTTTTCTTGTGGTTTAGTTTGACTGTTTTTAGATTACGTAGATTGCTACCATTGATTGGGATTATTTTTGTTCCCTTTTGATTGCATGTATAAGAGATATCTTTGCATTTTGATTACCATATATTGAATTTTTAGTAATTTTCTTGGGGTTTTGCACACTTTTTAATCACCAAGAAGAGAAAAGATGTAGAGCTTGAGGCCCATCTGCAACAGTTTGGGTCTTTCATTCGGTTAACATTCCTCATGTTTTCCAATATTAAGTATCTATAACAACCTTTATGCATTTTGGCAATGTAATCAAATAAACTTTCATGAAAACAACCTTTGACAACTACTTTAGACAGAAAACCCTGCTAGTCCTTGGCAATATCATACTGTAAAGCAATCATTCTAACTAGGAATTGAAGAATTCCATAGAACAGAAATATAAACGGAGATTCAACAAGAGGAATGTAAAACCCTAACTGAAACCAGTTAAGGGGAAGAATAGAGAAAAAGGGAAAAGAAATTCAACACGACTTCTTTACTTTCATTAATAAGCCGCACTCCTTTACAAATGAATAAACGGATATTTATAATAACCCAAGCTCAACTAACTAACTCGGGCAGACCAAACCAACCCATAACTGAATACAAATCAGCTATACATACTAACAGGAATAAAGCTTGCAAACCATAACAAAAAGAATATGAAAACCCCATTCCCCTCGGTCATTCACCGCAGCTCCCCGATTTTCAACTTACCGGCCTGTATAAGAGCATGCTTGTTGAACATGTTCTCCAAGTTCACTGACATAAACATGTATTCAAGCAATGTCATTCCCATAATCCGGGGGATTACAATGAAATATTTATTCAAAATCTTTCTTAACAATTGATAACGTACTCATACCTTGCAAATGCAGCTGCACCTCTAGGAAAAACAACACTCTCTTTAACAATTTGAGCCATTTAATGGGTTATGGTGGGATCAAGGCCATCTATGAGATTTTATGAACTGGAACGAACATAAAAATTAGTATTCTAATAATAAGTATCGAAAATAAATTGTAAGAATAAGTAAAAATAAATAAATTTACTTTTAAATTATTTTTTATTATGTTTAATAATTTATCTAATAAATACATCAAATTTTAAATAGAAATTATAAAAAAAATATTAAACTCCTAACTACTCACATAAAATAAGCATGACCCTCTTTTAAGAGGGCTCACGTTCGATATCAACATTCTCCATATTGTCAAAAAAATAATTAAGTAGAAAGTGAAAATAAAATGAAATTATGAAACGTTAAATATGATTTTACCAAAAAAATAATTAAATTATCAAAATAAATAAATAACATGTGAATAACTAAATAATCTTTTTTAATTATATGTTAACTTCAAAAATAAAAAAATTTAAATATTATCCTTCTATCCAGACTCAACTATGAGCCTTAATAATATATATATATATATATATATATATATATATATATATATATATATATATATATATATATATATATATTAATTAGTTTTCCACACTTTCATGATTTTTATATATTTTTTAAGTAAATAATGTGATAGTCGTATTTTAAATTTTATTATTGTAATTCATTTATGACAAATTTCCAATAAATATTAACAGTATAAAACGGATTGTATATGCCATGCCCATAATAATAGAGGCAATTGGATTGAAACCCATATATAGAATACCTGGTTTTCACAAAGTGAGGATAAAACTTTATGTAAAAAAAGGTAAACTACATAAATGGTATTCAAACGTTTAGGACAGTTTCATTTTAGTCACCAAACTTTTAAAACTTATAATAAAATTAATGTACTTTTAATTCGATTTCATTATAATCATTATCCCTAAAATGACCGACATGACACGTTAAAATCATCTTCTTTCTTAAAAAATCCTCATTTTCTCAAACTAATCCGCAACAATTGAACTCTTTTACTCGCACTTACTCGCACCGGCATTATCTGACATTCTTTCGGTCGTCGTCGCCTCTAAACATAACACCCACTATAATCAAGAGTTGTATCATCTTCCAATGACTGTCGAATAATTCATGACCATTATTTCATCCAAATTCTAAACACCACAACCACAAGCTACAATCATCACCCGTGATCAGACCAATCTCGAGTTATTATTATAAATCTCATTCGATCACCATCTACAAACACAACCACCAGTAGCAATAAAACGAATAAACAATTAAAAAAATAAAGAGAAAAGAAAAAAGAAAAACCATCCATTTATACTTTGCCAAGTTTTTTTTTTAAAAAAAAAAGTTTTCGATTAATGAAACGGACACGGATTAATTAATCCCAACAATAAGAAGATTATGTTTAATTAGAAGAGTAACATAATTATAATTAGATTTGAAATTCAGATTCACCAGATAAATGATAACTGGAAACACACCCATAAGTTTCAGCTCAAGAGCCTCAATAAAAGCGCAAGGTATCTTCACCTCCCTAGTGTTACGGGTTAAAAACTTAGAACTTAGCTTTCTATTTTTCTGAGTTCCCAAATCCCATCTCTACTTTCTCTTAGTTTACCTTATTCTTGCACATCTTTGGCTGCTTTAGACACTCTCAACCAGAAAAACTGACAAATAAAAAAAACATTTCATAATTCAATGCATCGATCGATGCTTTTCATTTACAAGGGCTGCTAGTGCAGCTAATGATAATGTTTATGAACTCAAATCCATACATAAACATTGCATCAAATACAATCATTTTATTCTTATTATCTGCATACAAACTATTTTGTCTCCACATTTCAGTATCAACCAAAACGTCGTTCTATTCACTCTTTTTGTTCATTTTGGCATGGTCCTCAAACAGACTCCCATCAAAACATCTCCTAGCAGCTTCTTTAGTCAGAAAACCATTCTCGTCTTTGGCTAAAAAATACAAAACCAACCACTCCGACTTGGCCAAAAACCTGCAATTCCATAATCAAACGCCACACATTTAAAACCATTCAACATTCAAACAAACAAAAAAAGAGGGTTGTCTAAACGGACCATCCAACCAAGTCGAATGGTAGGCGACATGCCTCAGTCATCCGCCACACCTCTGTGAATGTTAACTTATCGGGCTCTGTAAGTCCGTACTTACTGAACACGTTCTCCAGGTTTACTGGCATAAACCTACATTCAATAAATACCCATTTCTATAAATTAATTTCCAAGAATTCTTCTTCTTTTATGTTCCAAATTTATAAGTGCCTACCTTCCTTCGGTATCATATGTTGCTGATGTTGCGGAAGACGGCTATCGAATAGAGCAAATTCGTAACTGATAATCTGAGAAAATAAAAATGAAGATAAAAAGAGACAAAATTTACGTGGAAAACCCCTAAATAAAATAGGGTAAAAACCACAGGCAACGGTAGAAGAATTTCACTATGAGGAAATAGGAATTACAACTTCTCTCGATCTACCAATGAGAAAACAATGATAATTCTCTCTTGATAAAAAAGAGAAAACAACTCTCAAGAAACTCTCTAAATTCTCTATAGTATTGGACTAATCTTGTAAATACCCTAAAGTCTAATGACTAAAATTAATTTTTCCATTCAAAATATTCAACACCTAATTCATGCCTACCATTCCCTTTTTCAAAGTTTTAGGTGGATTTGATTTTTTTCCAATTCCAACTTTCGGTGGGAATTTATCAATTTTCAACAATCTCCCACTTGAAGATTTGATTGGAACAATCATATCTTCACACCATTCTTTCTACCTTGTACCATCATGTTGCTTACATTTCTGACAGACCACAAGAGGATCGACACCAAGTAAATTTATCAGTGTTGATCGCATTTGTCATGAAATCTGCTATGTTATCTTTGGTATGGATCTTCTGCATATCTACCGTCCCTTCTTCCACCTTTTCACGAATGAAATGGTACTGAACTCGTATGTGCTTTGTCCTTGAATGAAATGCTGGATTCCTTGCTAAATGCAAGGTGCTTTGACTGTCACAAAACAGAGAGACATACTCTTGATTGTGCCCAAGCTCCTCCAATAGCATCTTCAACAAAATTGCTTCTTTACTGGCTTGTGTAGCTGCTACATATTCTGCCTCTGTTGTGGATGTAGCCACAACTGACTGTAATTTTGAAACCCAGCTTACAGCTCCACCAGCAACTTTGAACACATACCCTGTAGTAGATTTGCTTTTATCCAAATCCCCTGCATAGTCAGAATCTACATACCCATTGATTAGTAAATTTTATCCTCCATAACATAATGCAACATTTGAGTCCCTTTGATGTATCTCAAGACCCTTTTTATTGTATTCCAATTCTCTTTTCCTAGATTCGCCATGTAGCGACTAACCACTCCCACTGCTTGTGCAATGTCTGGTCTTGTGCATATCATAGCGAACATCAAACTTCCCACTGCTGATGCATACGGTACTCGAGACATCTCCATCTTCTCTTCTTCACTGCTAGGACTCATACTGG